CATCTGCAAGCCAGTCGCCAGACCTTGCGCATAGTCAACCGGCCACCTCAACAACAACCATTTAAGGCAAACCATCCATCGCTATTCGGACAAGCTGATATCTTCGTAGGGTCTTATTACGTCCTTTTCTGAAATCAGTACACAGAAAGACTGAATATTCTCAACTTAGTGAACAAAGTAACCATCAATCTATTAATCGTTTACTGTGAGTACATTACAAAACGTGTACATTTTAATTCAATTTATACATCATGCTTCAAATTACTTTACCGTGAGGAATAACTGGAATAAACTGTTTTGAAAAATAAGGGGAATGCAATGGTGACCCAAGTATACCTGTGTGAAAGATAGGCTTTCCAGAAATATTCGAATACTGACGCATGCCTATAGATTGATACCTTGCGCAAATTTTCGAAAAACATTTTATTAAGCTTCCGGTATGGATAAAAATCTTCTCGTTCTATGCAGAACGAAAAATCCAAGTGGATTATCATTAAATGTGACGAAACTTTCTGTCTGAATCACTCAGTTCAGGTGGAGTTATTATGCGAGCGTTACCCTGGTGTCATTTGTAGTCCCTTTCAGCACCTAATTCTGAGGGATTAACTGTGAGTGACTTACATCTCAACCTCCTGAACAAGTGTTCTCATGAGTGGCAGATAAATTGTCTTCCAGCATACTTTGGCATTCTTTTTGAAACTAAAATCGTTTTGCTCTGGAGTCCAAACGTATTACTTGCTTATGATATGCCTTGTCTAACTGAGGAGGATTAGTGTCTGTTTTAAGGCTCGTTCTGGCAGATTTCAAAATATCCTCGTGCTTTTCCCTAGTGTGGACTATTGAGTAGAATGTTGAGTAAAATGTTGACTGAATGTTAACTGAATGTCTTCCCGAATTTCACCCTAATCTCAGACACCGTATTATTCTGCTGCTGTAATATGCTTCAAAGTTACCAACCAAAGAGCATGTCAAACATGTTATCTATAGGGTTTAAGAACCTGATTTCCTGACCTTTGTGTACGGAAGAATTCCATCACGATAGTGTTACTTTCAGTAGACATCCTTGGGGAGCTAATTTTAAATCTTTCCTTAAGGTTACACTTAAGATTAGGGTTTCTTGCACATCCTTTCTGACGGAATAAAAGTGTTATCGTTCCTTAAGGGACTCTCTTGGGCAATTATTAGTTTAACTTTCACCATATAAACTGGCACATAAACTGCTTGGCCATTTGCGCTCATTACCACGTGCCCCACCACACGTAGGTAAACGATAAATAGAGATACGCTTTTTATTTCACCCTATATTTCAAGCGACAGAGCGAAAAACACTAGTCGTTAGGGTTCTGTTGGAGAGATTTTATTCGATAAATTATTGACTACACAAAGATTAAAAAACCGGTTAAATGAAAGTTTGGTGGAGTGCTAGTTGTCTGTGAACAACGGAGCTAGCACCAAGTGAGATTATCTGAAAGACAGGTTCGTCAACGAAAGCTCCGGATGGCAGGACCAGCTTGTCACTCAGTTTCTGTGGCGGGTAAAATACATAATAGACACCTGAAAATTATTTTGCTCAGTCACTTAACCTAAGTGAAACAAGCGTTTTCGTCCTTCGGTTTGCCACTAATGGGACTGAGGGAACTTGCCAAACGTCATGTCTTGTTCCGGTGTGTACAGTCTCGGAATTCCAAAGGGGCTTCTCTCTCCCAAGTTTTGTTAATGAAGGAACAATACTCCAAAAATATTTTTCAAGTAGCAGGCACATTAGACTATAAATCGCGTACTTATACTGGAATTCGGCAAGCGATCTTCTGGCTGCATGGTACACACTGCACCCACTTTTAGAGGTGGGAAATAAATGGAATGTAAAGTGTGCTCCCAATAGCTTGGACTACAGGTTGCTAGTTAAACCGTCTATAAGACAATTCGGTCCTGTTATAGAGCTTGATATACTCTGGCCCATGGAATTAGATTTTCAAAGGCTATCATGAAGAAATTTGTGGCATAACCTGGTCACACAAAACCTTCCTACCCTAGGTGGGCCTTGTTGCGTGGATTGTGTTGGCAGTTGATAACTGCATAGACGAAACATTTGCAACAGGACTTCGTCATTAAATTTAGATATTAAGAGAAATCATTTAAAGGCGTGCACAAGAACACTGACAACGGAAGTGTATAATTTTCTGAATGTGACAGTTTCGCACTGAACCCTAAACCACTACAGTAATAAGAGAATAACTTGCGAAGTGTGAAACGCATTACCAAGACAACCAAAAAGATAAAACTCCAAGCTATGCTTACTAACATCAGCTGAAAATGCAGCTTATCCTTATGTTGTCCGTTCGCGGGATAAAATTTAACATCAGTGTAGGAAGTTTATCTGTTTTTTTGAGTCAAGGCAAATATGGAGTTGAATGAATGACAGGCATCTTGAAGCTTGCCGGCTACTGAAGTTAAAATATACAGAACATGTAGGCTGTACAAAACCAGGAAATCATGCTACTAAAGGGCGATATAAACAAAAAATGAGACTGATCTCAGCTAAAAGGAATGCTGCTTTGAACCTAATTGGGGCAGTTTACTACTAGTGTAACAACAAGTTATTTTTAAAAGGACTTCATCGCTATAGGAACTCATTTCTAATATAACTATACGTATATATTCAACAGTTTCACTGACCCAACCGTCAGGAGTTTCGCAGAGAGGTACTGCGTGAAGTACCGGACACCATCATTTAATGGTTCACCTGTTGACTTATTTGTCTTCTCATTCAGAGCTTCGATAGTTATCAGCAGCTCATCAAATACAGCGAGGTTTTTTATCCGTCCATGTATTCTGGCTAAATTTTTGTTTGATCGTCATTTTCATCATATCAGTTGAGGTCTCCCTTGGCACATCTCTTACACATGAACACTTTCTAAATAGCAGTGGGTAGGACTATCCTTTCCAAATAATACCGGAATGTTTGGACTTATTAATGTACATTCATCTACATGGCAATTGACTGGGTTGCTCCTAATAGTCACGTGAGTTATCTTTGTTGTCCTAATGGAACAGATTTGAATTTAGTAGTTAAAAATGCTCAAGATCACTGAAAGTATTCTGAAGAATACCCAACAGAAGGTACTTTCAAGTAGTTTATCACCGCTAATTTCATTTGTCTATTTCCTTAGTTTGAGTGTTCAATTTATACTAAACTCGAAGTTTTCATACAAATTATAGAAGGTCTTACTCTTTTCCTCTTCGACTAATCTGGTTTCTAGTTTCATTTTGCGCAGTATCCAGTCTACAAAATTTGGATTTGGGAATAAAAATCCCTCTTGCTCAGCCCTAAAATGTAATCCTCTGTATCAAATGTCGTTACTAAAACATCGGTATTATTTCTCGAATCTATCAACGCACAGAAATTTCCATGTTTCAGGACGTTGTCATTGCATTTTCACACTCCAGTATTTATAAATTTGTTGACTGTTATTGTTGCAAACTTTTCTGAGCTACACACTGAGAGTAGGATGTGCTCATCAACTTGTTTTGATAGCTATTTAACTGTAGTTCATTCACACTGAAAGACAGCTGAATACAATGCTGCTATCTTAACAGGGTTTCAAAGCAAAACGGAGTGATTATAACTAGATGGAAATCCTCTCTTCCGCCCTTTACTGCTAGTTTCCAAGCCACGTTTTTCTCTTCCGTTGGAATTGTATCTCGCTTACGTAAAATGGAGAGCCGTTGAAAGTCAGACAAAGCCTCATTCGCACTGACACGTCAGACGTTGTTCCGCATGAGTATCTCCAGCGTAGTAGACCGTGTAGCGCTTTCGCTGCTCCTACTCATAACACTTGAGCATATTTTTAGAAACAGTTACTTCGATGTGCGTTCGTTGAGAAACTTGCTAACAACTTTCGGTTTTTCAACCCATGGGCTGAATTCAAGGTAGTCATTCGGCTGTCTCATAAATTGGTAAGATTGTTTGTTTGACGGAATCAACTGACAACACCTGTAGGAATAACGAGAACTAAAGATACTCTGGCTTTGTTAACACTTTCGTTTATTTAGGTGAGATGAAATGCATCAAATTACTGGAAGCAGCTGAATAGAACAAACAAACATGTGATAAGTAGTGTATTTTGAAAATCTCTTTGTTACTCGTCAGTTCTGAGGCAAGCGTTAATGGAATTAACAGCTGAACGTCCAGAATACGTACTTGAGAGCTTCTACTGTATGCGTAACCTATGCATATTTTGATGGTGCATTCAGAGAATTGTGTGATGTTTAGTCCATTCACTTGTTTTTAGCAGTTGAGGTTTTGAAAATCTAAGAGAAGTTTAGGTGGATCGGCCACTGAGGTGCACGTTTGTCTGAGATTTTATTATGCGCGACCCCGAATTCGCTGAAAATTGGTGGCGCCTATTGGTGGCTGAATAGGTTCTGAACGGTTCCACGCGTTCCTACCGGATAATGTTCCTTTATTGTGGACGCAAACGCATAGAATCCAGCAGGGACGACGAATAAAAAACTAACTGTGAAGCAAAGGATTCAGGGAGAATTATTAGTTAAGGACGAATATAATTTTCTCGTGACATGTTTTTTGTGCTACGTCAGGTCATATTTTTTGGTCCATTGCCTCAAGTGTGTTGATTTAATGACAAAATACATTCATTTGTAAGTTAGCTTGGTGGCGATAAGACACCCCGTCGTTAAAGTGCTTTTTATTCACGTCACACTGACAGTCGAGCTTGTTTTATATATTCGTTACTTGAGAGTGTCAAATGAGAAAATGTGCAACAACTACATTAGACTAGTTAGGCCTACCAAACATGTTACAGTGGAGGCACTGGATTTGGGAACAAGCGATGGACACCGGGGAACAATGGATCGTTGTTGTTAGTTGCGTGATTCGTAGAATGTACATTCACATCGGGCTACGTTGAACAGTTTTCCTCCTATGAGTTTGCATAAAAAGTGGCAGTAATGAACTTGAGTTTCACCCTTATCATACTTACTCAGCAGTGCATATCCGTTGTCGTGCAGGAGGCTTGAACTCCGAATATCTCACACGTGAGGCGATCGTCTTACGACCGCTCCAACGACGAACACAGAATACATTTAAATTCCCACGTCTGAACAGAAGAAAGTGCTCACACTTGAGTCCGACGTCTAGAAAGACTACCCAATATCTACCCTTGTTGTGTCGATCGACCGACCCACATGTTAAAACTTTCTTGTCAGATAGTACGAAGACTTAAAACCTGCTGGACGATGGGTTGTACCAAATACGGTTTTCGCTGAGCTACATCTGCATTCAACTTCATCAAGAGTAAATGGGGAAAACATTCCGGCTTATGAATGAGAGGAGATAACTCTAAAGTCATAGTTATTTTTAACTAGTGGCCCACAAAAGTCAATTGAGATAGGTACAACATAACAGTTAAACCCCACGGTGCATTCTAAGGCTCTCCCGTTTGGCTGCACCACTCAGAAGAGGTACCTCGGCTATACACATATAGCTAGCTAGGTCTGTACAACGATAGTCACAGACGGCTGCCTCCAGCACCATTGTACGAAAGCTAGTTTGGGTCTTATGCAGGTGAGTACGCGAAATACACGTAAATGGAAAAGATCCAGAAGCCTCATATCACAACGATATATTAAAATACAATACATGGCATTGAGGTCACAGTGGAAACATTGGAGAGGCTGGCAACCGAACCAGAGTCTGACTCTAACCCTCAGGGTTAGAGCGGTGGAAACAGGTGAACACTTGGTGCTCGCAGCCCTTGCACCACGTCGTCAGTTGACCCACACCACAAATGAGACATCCTAAGCAAAGATTGGAACAGCCTGGCAGTTGAACTCAATGGTATCCACGGCTGATAAACTGAGGACCACATTATCAGGTCAAACTCCGAGTGCATCCCCATGGTAGCCAGCCGTGCTTTGTCTTGATTAGGTCCACATGATAATGGGTACTTAAAGTCTATTCTAACACCTTCGTGGGCTTGATTATTAGAATTACCAGATAGCTTTCGAACTGTACGGATTTTATTTCAGAATAAGCCATGTGTTATCCCGTTGTTTAACATACCTTAACATGTCTAACATGTCGCATATTAAATAGGCTTCGAAACCACACATGCGTTATTCCTGGGGCTTAACTTTTGGGATGAAAACCATTAAGTACACTTTCTTGCGGAAATCCCACGGATACACTAGTTCATTGTCTCTTGGGCCAGTATAGTGAACCAGAAATTGCTTTGGCATTTATTACTTTGGTGGTCCTGGTCTGGAAAAATGCGGTGGCTACGTCTCTAGTAAATGACACGCAAACATATTTTTAAATTACAGTGGAAAGCGCTTAGTTTGAAAATATCACCTCTGTAACCATTATACAGGACGATTCTTCACACATTCCTTAAACCGTACTTTCAAGCCATTCAGATCCAGCACTGGGGACTGTGTGCAACCTTAATCACATTTGGTTTCTACTTGGGGTTCATTTGTACATGTCAGTGCAGCCACTGCGATATCTCGAATATTGTATTAACTGAAACATGAGGCGACCTGTACGCGGCACATTCAGTTGAAGAACATCATAAACAAGAGATTCACTTGAGCCCCCCGTGAAAACCAAATTGATTTGCTAGTGAGCATATCCGTCAAATTCGCAATCACATTAGGTCTCTATGTGGGAGTCAGTTGTACAGGTTAGTGCAGCTACCCGAGATTAAGTTGCGCATTCGCAGCATGAAACCACGCTGTTTAGTGGCCTTTTAATGGGATGACATATGCATAACTCTTCAGCCATGTACCTACCCGCGACGGTCCTTCCTTCTGATGAATATTCGAATAATGTTGATGTTTGTAGGTATGAATGACATACGCCTAACTCTCGAACATATCAAGCTTGGTATTGCTCTTGAGTCACGTACTCAGCATTTTACTCTCTGGGTTGAGGGGACCACCGCATTCAGCAATCTATCCTTTCCTAATCATCCCTAAAAGCCGCATGGACATAAAATCGACATGGATGTGGACGATAAATATGAACTCCCGTTACAGGTCACTTTTGGAGATCCCGGTTTGCTGATCAGGCAGATTTAGTAAGGCCTGGTAAAGCAGAAAAATAAGGCTATAAATAAACATAAAAAAGGATCCCAGGAAATCGCATCTAATTTTCGCAAGTCCATTGTATAATAAAAAACTGGCGAACTGAGGGTATCAGAGTTGTATAAGTTGTTATATTCATGTCACTGTGGAAGATTTTCGGGGTTCGGTATGGTTTCACAGCGTTTTTCAAGTAGATGTTATCTTGTCTGCATGAACAGAATAAGTGTTCGAAAACACAAGTTAGATAGTTATCCTGGGATGGAGTGTCTGGAACAAGATGTAGAGAATATTCAGCCACTCAGGATATTAGCGGAGACGTTGTTCCAACATTCAATACACCTTTATTAGTGGAAAAAGCCTACGCGGACATTGAATACTATAAAACAAGGATTATTAGCATCGGTCTGGACTGTTACCAAACTACCAATCAGGTGCTGGAGCTGTTGTTCTGGTCCACAGTTTAACTATTCACTTTTTTAAAGTGATCTGCTGACTGATTTGTCTCACTATTTTAGCCTACAAGGTAAGAGGGGTCACTATTAACTCAGGTTGTTACTGAAGTACGTTCTTCAGCATACGATAATGGATGGTTGATGTGGGGATGGTGTGCAGCAGAAGCATTTGTTTTCCGTTCAACAGAACTTCATCAAATTTATCATTTCACTGGAGACACAATGATCACAGAAAAGTACAGTTAACACGCACAGCATTCATCGAGGATTTTACCTGTTACAAACGAACAGTTAGGTGGAAATGAAATTTAGTCGAAACTGTCATTTTTGGTAATCCTCAAGTACAATGTAAGATTGATGAAAGTTCTAAAATAGGCCTGATGATCAGAACTAAGGAAAAACTGGTAGTGGGCTGTCTAGCATTTATATCGAGCTTAGTAGTAGTGACACGTAGAGATTTCCTCTCGTTTTAAACCAACATCAGATGGTCATTTAGGTTTGTCACGCAGTGACGGATTCTTTTAGAAGCATCTGGCACACTTTGGGCCATGCGATGTGTGTTCGCTCTCCAATCCAGCTCGAGGGCTCGTGTGACCATGTCACGAGTTATTCGGGTCCTAATCTGGTTTGAGCAGGAGCAACCAGTGTGACTAATCGACTGATGTATTATTCTGGATATTAGCCTGGTGAATATTTGGGACTGGAATGATGCTGTACTCTCAAACTCTCCGGAGATGTGCGCACAACTGAGGAGCTTGATCGCTACAACCTCCGTGTGCATTTGCGGCAATCGTGTGTAGCACGTCAATAGTAAGAAAAATATATGAGAACTGGACTTTACCCACAATTTGCATGGAACCACTGAGTGCAGGAACATTCCCTTTGTGTACATGTACATTAACGAATTCGTTCTTAGGTTAACATCATAGTGGCAAGCTAATGATATGACGTAGCATGCTGCGTTAGCGTTTGGGTTGCAAGAATAGTGAATACTAATCGGTCAGTATACTCAAGTTTTTGCTTCTAGCTTGTTGGCAATTTCAGTGGATAAAGTTGTCACACAAGAAGTTATACATTAGCTGGTTGACGAATGGGGTGTCATCGCGAGTAGACCCCTAATGAACGTTGTTATTGCAGCACAATTCAGCCACTAAAACCGTTCACTTTCCAAAAAGTAGAGATATCCTAAGATATCAACTTACTAATTTCAATGTCGGTGTTTAGAGAAGCTGTCATGAACGCTTGACTGGTGGTCAGAAGACGTCACATCGAATTCGAATGTGACACCAAGTAACCGAAGGTGCTAATTGAAAGTGGTCACCGACTGCACTAACATGATTTCAAATAATGATTCAGGATTGAGTGAATAGCATCCTCAGTGAATCGACAAAAATAATGGACATGTCACTTACTGGTAACTTTGTGCTGCGCGTTATTTTCCCTTAAACCTAAAATACCCAAACGACGGTTTTTATCAGTAGCCGTTGGCTTTCATAACACGTGCTGATAGACTCCCTAACCTGTGATACGAACATATCCATGACCCTCAACCGCTACAGTCACAAATCAGCTAGTCTTTCCCACCCTCTGGTTTACCAAAATCTTAGTTGTCGTCGACATACTTCTGCTTCTCGTGTGTTGACGGTAGAGTTTTTCATTACCACCCGAACCACAGACCCATTGCCATAAACTGCCTGCTGCCTCATCGGGCCACATGTTGGACCCAGATTTGGAGAACATACACCACAGACACTGAGTCCTGGTAAACATAAAATTAAATATGCTTCTTCCGAAATTTACTTCCAATACCTGCACCAATAACTTCAGCTTGACGGGAGGCCCATTCGCTGGGCGGTAACTTTAGTGAGCCAAGTGAGTTTTCATAAACACTGAAAACATGGTTTCGTCCAAACGGTTTGATGTTCTCCACACTGCCTTCTTTAAGATGCTTAAGGGGAGTGCCGATTTCGGTTGTGGTTCAACACACCCCTTTTGCGCCATGGGCTGTTCGAAGTGTATGTGACAGCGTTTAGTGCAGTGAATTCATTCGGGACAGCTCTAACAAAAAAACCTTTGATTGGATAGCAAGGTGAATAAGAAAAACTATAGGCAAGATTAAAAATGTAACTCCTTTTACTCCTTTTAGAAAACCATTTACTATTCTCCCACCCTCAGCTTCATGAAAATAGATTTCTTTCTACCAGGAAAACTTCTACAACTACTACTGGATTCACTTAGCATTTATAAGAGAATCCTTTTATTGTTCCGAAAGTTGTGCGAAATAAACCCCATCTAAAAGGTTAATATGTGGTCCTCAAATGTAGCTATGCGTGGACGATGCAAACCGGTAATTGATCCACTGTGCACAACCACTGAAATACGGAAAATACATGAAAAAACGGTTAGAAATGATGACAGTTGGTAACAGAAAAAGGAAACTAAATATTGTGAAAACTGCTAAGTTATCTGACCGACAGTATGGAAAGCTCTGTAACCTGGTCATACTGTTGGCCGATAGTGATGCGGGTTCGTGACACAGTTCTGTAACCAATCAAAAATGTTCTTCACTGAACGCGAATTCAGACTTTGATTATCCATTTAGCAATGTTCACTTGTTTCAGTCACTAAGGCAGTTTAAAGTGATCAGTAACTTAGAACAAACAGAAACTGGGCGACCTCAAAGTCGCATAGCTAATTAGATGACGGAGAATCGAGAACGAACAGATTTACACATCCAGTGGAGCATGGAAAATGCTGCAGTAAACTCCCAGTAGAAATGCGATTAGGTTTTCATCAATTGCTTTGAACGAAAAAAACAATGGTTCGACAGACCTAGGAAGTATCCTTATGGAATGAATTTCTGGTCGTGAGGGGGAGTCCCATTTATAAGAAACACATGAAAATCGTCTCCGTTATTCTAAGCTATTCTTCCAAAAACTCAATTTTCACGGTTATGGACGAACGTGGAAGTCCATAGTTAACAATTTCGGCACAGTGTACGGTCTACATAAAATACGAAACGGAACAGAATTAGTCATCCTGTAAGTCAAGGCATACACAGTAAAAACTACAACGATGATATTTTCATATCCACAGTGGACATTCTGTAACACATTTTTGCACCACCCAAAACCTACTGGAGCAGACTACATCGGAAGTTCTGGTGTTACTAGATGCTGATTCCAGAGTGTTTCTTGTCATACCCTGGGCGAAAATAGAACTTGTGGTTACTTGTTTCACGACCAACCTCTCTGTGGCTTAATTTTATCTGCATGCACGTGGTGAACCAGGCATACATGGGGACGTGAATAGCATTTGTGATGTCATCCCATGAGATCTAGTCAGAAAGCAGTGGCCAGAGGTTGTCTTGTCATTTTGCTCTATCGTTTAAAGAATGTGTTTGGTTCGACCGATGAGGTCCAATTAACAGAACAAATCCACCAGGATTTAACACGCACTTCATGCCCGCTTCAAGTAAGCAAGCAAGACTTACAGAACGACGGACGTTTGTTAAAAACTGCTAGGGATTAGGAACTCACTGTTTCAAAATTTCGAGAGATAGGTCATGTGATAATATTTCCTCATGGCTAGATGCATGGAATTTTCTAATTGGGGCCCTTTTCGTATGTTAGTTCAACTCAGATTTGATAGGGAAACTGACCAGCCAGATAGCACATGCAGGGTAGGCTTATCTTGTCCTCATGACTTTTTAAAATTAATCTGCGGAGAGTTAACCAAAGATTCATAATCAGGAGTTTTGCTTAGCGTTCACGGATGGTGATCGTCTCAAGATTCTGTTACAGGTTCACTATATTCAAGTTGTCATTGTCTGGTAAACACGGAGTACAAATCTGGATACTGAAATAAAACGAAAAAATAATTTTGCATCCTCACTTAGCTAGCAATTATTGAACCAAACTGAAGAAACTGTAGTCTGGTTAATTTTGATGTTGTGAGTAGTTTAGTGAATGGTCTTTAAAACAGAGGATGGAGCACTATCAATGAACACCTCTTCCATAGTTATTCCTTTGCCACCATGGTGAGGAATCTTGAGGCGACAACTGCGAGTACTTTGTCGGACAAATGTCTCGTGATTGTGATTAATGTGCACTAAAGTAGGTATGCGCGCAAGTTCCAATTTTGGTTACATGATGACAACTTATTACTGACACGGTAGAGCAGCTGACGTAGCATATAACTATTCTCACACAAATCTGTCAAAAATACGACCCTTTGGGCAACGGAAATGTCGGTGTATCTGAGGAATTGTTCACTTGAGGATTTGCTCCTGCATTTGACTAAAAACTAGGTTATTATTCTACGTGGTTTTATTGGGACTTTTTGGGTGGACCAGATTCTTATGACTTATTTTTCTAAATATTTTGGAGTCAGTAGACAGAATATTTTGAATGAAGCTTTATGAGAATACTTCAAGTCAGGTGCAATAACATTAAGTGCCAAGACGTTGATTTCCAGTATATCAGTTCAGTGTTGCTGTTCGGATTTAATAGCATGCTGACAGAATTAAAACAAGAAGAGAGTGTGCAAAACGCAATTTAACAGCTACAGTTCATCTAGCCAGAGGTTGTAGATTCAGTAAAAACGTATAGCTACCGAGGTATCCCTCTATGCAGGTAAAGACGATGTATTCAAACATCAGGGGGATGGTTTACCGTCGAATTTGCACACAAATTTGTCCAGGATACCCATAATAATTTTAATGCATTTTAAGTGTACTTCAGTGGCCCCAAAAAACTGAGAGTAGTCATTTTCGAGCGGTAAGGGGTACAAGATCTAGGAACAACAATTTAGCTGCGAAGTTGGAGGCGTAATCATACCTTTGGACGGTGGCACGAGGTGCAGGTAGCATACGAAGCCTTAGGGCGCAGGATGTGATTTGTGATACTCTCATGAGATTAAGTTAAACATAACGAAGGCATTCAGGGTTGTCTGCAATAGATACCCTGGATAACCTTAGACGGAATCCCTTGAAGTGCCAATTGTGTTCTTTGAGAGAAATGGGACAGTCATAGAGCTAATTCCCATGATTGGAGGTGAGTTCTTTCGTCTGGCAACCATCTTGAAACTACTATAGTAGAGTAGTACATCTGTTCTCCAGATTCATGTGATCTTCCGGGCCGTTTAGCCCAGCACCATATCATTGGTACATTCACAATACATTAAAAATGGCGGGTATATAAGACAATGTCAATTAAGATTAATTAAGCGGTGAAAGTATACTCCTTACTGTCTTAATGCACGACAGATCATTGCTGTCACACCACCCGGCAAACCACCGGAATTATTTCGACCGAAATAGTGGGCTGGAGCACAACGTGATTTGATTTTGGGGAGCGGTGGCTCAGTAAACTAATGTTTGGAGCGGCTAGAGGTCGAATAGTTGAGTGTTCAATCCGCTAGCAGGGAGATCGCGGAAACGAGACTCCCTGGAGTTCCGTGAAACGTTCGCTGCTGATGAGTCATAACAACATCTATACAATGTTCTCTGACTTTTCAGCATAGAATGGCTTCGTTTACAGGACGAAATCTCCTTTAATACACGTAAAAAATCCTCTGCGTGCTTGTCGGTAGAGTATACCCGTTATCAATTTACTGACGTGCTAGCTGGACTCGAAAAAATGAACCAAAGATATCTATGTTGTAATCCCAGAATTTCAACAGGTTGGTACCAATTCACAACTCACCAAATAACGGTTTTTTGTGCATTGCTACATATTCCAACTGTACCTAAGGTTCTACATTTTGAACAACTAGTTAAGCTAAATCGGATATGTGCATAAGATCCGAAGTATGGAAGAAATTTGATTCTATTAGAAACAACTACTGTGTTTCTAGCAATTGGCTTGCTGATCTGGGCGATGGGCGAAAGGCATTGCTATTTTAATTTTCTTCTTGGGATAAATTCGGCAGTTCTGGAATTAAAAGTCTATTTCAAAACTGCCGAATTTGTACAGACATGAGGATTTTATGTCCCCATTTGAAGATGGGTGTGCAATTTTTCGCTCAAAAACCGCCCGTTGTTGCGAATTCCGGTGTGCTGTTTCTTTTTTGATATATTTCCATATGGGCGGAGAGCTTTATATCGTATATTGGATGAGTAGCAGAATAGATGAGCACCATTCTGATGAGCCTTATAGTGTTACCAATAAAAGCTCAGTTGTGATGCCATACTGATTTCAAAATTGAAGAACTACTTACTTGTGGTGCGTATGCAACCCCTATCCATGTTTCATCGAGAAAACTTCAGCATGACCAATTATGGGTTCATTTTATTAGCAAGATATCTGTGACGCGAGCCACCTCCTGCACGTGATGTCGGAGAATTGGTCTGATGTAGAAAATCGCTCAACTTTTCTTACTTGTAACTCTTGGGTAGCTAAAGAAGATATTGATGAGTATTTTTGAGAGTATCTCAGACCCATTACTTGACTCAACTCTTATTATAGTTCACTAACTCAAGTTGGGTACACTTACCTTGCCAGGACTTCACTTATTAGTGCTATATCCTTGGGTATATCTTTTATTTTCTTTCCTGAGTTTGGTAATTTGGAGTAATGCATTGGATATTGTGAATTCCACGCTTTTTAATCATCCAGCCAGCTTCTTAGTGAGTTGTTTTGTGACTTAGGTCCCTCCAAGTTGCAGGCGGTGTACATGTTTATAGTACTGGGGTTAACATATGAATAACCCTATCGCGGTGTGCTTACATGTTTGTGCACATATGGGCATCAATAACAGGTTTCATTCGTGTTACGCTTTGTGGTGGGTCGCCTCAACACACCACCACGTGTTCATTCAAAGGGAATAGCTCCCGAAGGTGCTCTACGATGGCTGGAAACAATGGCTTCAGGATATATTCTCTGTCGCCTTGCAGTATGGAGTATGGAGCCGTATGCAGTACAGACATTCTCTTCGTTTTCCAGTCGCTTCCAGGAGAAGATAAAGCGACGACTGTTCATAATTCGGGGCCGCGTATATTTCTTTTGTTCGATAGATGGACTATTCATGTAGAGCTATTTAGAGCGTAATGATTGACAAACGAGTACTGATGAGTTTTGTTCAGCGTGCTGTAAGCTACAAGTGTCATCTCCGTATTGACCACAACCGAGCAGATTTCAACCAGATGATCCGGAAATGGGGACATCACTACGGACCGATGATCTGTACAAGATCGCTGATTTTCGATTCTGAGCCTAATCAACCGTCTTTTAATGCTTCGGGAGTTTGTTTTGGGGGCTTATTCACTCAATTAAGTGGGTGCAAAGTGAGTCCGAGTTCGCGCTGTTTTATTCCTCTTATTTTCCTACATTTGCGATAATGCGCACAACGCACTGCAAAAACTGACAAATTTATCGAAGGGTTTCCTTGCTCCATAGCCGGGCATAAAGAATAACGCAGGTTGAACTGCGATGTAGTGTGAATTCTTCTTGAGGAGGACTTTGAAGTTCAAAGATCTATCGCCAGTTAATACAGAAAACCGAGGAACTGCATTATCCAACTTCTGAGTGGGGGATTGGTAGCAACAACTTTTAACATTTTAGCATCGGTGGCCGGAATATTTCAGATTCCATCATCTCCCGAACCCTTCAACTAAGACGACCAGTCAAAATACTGTTGGATGTCATCTGTAGATTTTGGAAATTGGTTGTCTGGAAAATGGCGGCTCATTGTGGTAACAGCATCCCCTTAGTGGACAAAACCCATTCTGATCGAGTTTCCGCAAAGTACTGCAACGTTTACCATTCGTAAAACCGTACTGCGTGAACGCAGCCCGTAGACTAAAGGGGCGATTTGGTCTAAAAGTTATATTCGGAAGCCTCCGGTGAGTTCTGATGCCGCATGAGGAATCATTGAATGTTGGCTTTTTCGCTCGCATATTTATGTTCCCAGGTTGGGCTATTTATAAGGATTCCTCGGGATATGTTGCCTTGCGAGATGCTAGGCTGAAGTTAGATGCTACAGGGCAGTTCTCTGAGCCTTATGACTTCAAGCTATTAAAATATTTTGACAAACCCGCCCTTTGTGATAAATGTTTAGGTCAAGGGGCAGTGGGGCGCACGGAAATCGGCAATGGCCAGATCGGTTTCAGTGAAGATGACAAACCACATCACATTTGTAAGGATTTGGGAAATATATGGCGCAGAATCAGTGTGCATTCTGTATCACCGTCAAATTCTGATGACGTCAGATGGAACGAAGAAAGTAACGACCTTAGCCATGAAACGGCAGGCAGAATCACTAGTCAAAAGAAACGCATTCATTTCTGTTACCAATTACACTTGGAGAGTCTATTTGTTTGTGTTAGTAAAGCAAGTTTTGCTACAACAAGAAACACTGAAATAGAAAAAAAGGACTTTTGGACGAAATCAAGATAATCCTGCGCAAGTTAGCGTCATTTGATAGCAAGTGATGACGTAATGTTTAATCTTAGAGTTGATATGGATAAACATGATAACCCGTGATTTTCCAACCAACAAGAATACTTCCCTACAGATGCGTCGTCGCTCTATCACTGGACGACGTTTCTGTCAACCCACTTTGTATTTCTTTTTACACCGCAGTTTTAGCCACAGGTCAGTGATTTTGATCTCATCAAGACATCAAGCGGGGAAGCTCCGGTACGGAACACTGACCACCGTCATTGTACTTCTTAGACGAATAGGTGAACACAATAGTCAAAGACCCGTCGCATATTTGAACATATTGACTTGACATCCTAGTTTGTTGAGACTGGGGTTTTGTCATTTGGTAGCAGCGGGCATCATGTTGAACGCAAGCGGTCTGCTTCACCAGTCCTAGACATACGGTGTTATACGGTGTTTGACGTGCACATGTACCTACTTGCTGGCAGATCTATATAATAATAGCCACAATATCTGGCTGCAATGGTTTGTCAAAAAATAGAAGGCGGACGAAAAATAGAACTGAAATAGTCTATTGAAATCTGTCATTACGGAGACACCAATAGATTTCAAGAAGTTTTCAGCAACTAACTTGACTTTCATGTTTGTAAATGGAAGTTCTTCTTTCGTTATTGAACGGAACTGTAATTTACATTATTCCACCAGCACCACACAACGGTTATAAATAGACGGTAAATAATGCAAGGGACCCACCTATATAACCCCTGAAGTGTCAAAGCGAAACAGAGATTGACAAACGTGTGATAGATTCACTGAGAAATCTCGATGAGCTTACTTCCTGACTGCAATCTGAGTTTCATTCGGTACGCATTAATAATCGTAACTTTTCTAGACAGGACAGCTGACAGCAGTACACTTCGAGTAAACTAGTGCCATGCTGGAATCATTAATTCATCTGCCACAGGTATTCCCTAAGTGCTTGCATTCGCAAACATACAACATTATTACGAATCCTATGATAGCGATCGTCTTGCATCATCTGGCTTTCCAAAACTGAAGAGCCAGGACACCCCCACACCAGTACGTTTAGCTGGTGCAACTAGAACTTGTGTTTGAGGGCGGCCCATCTCCTCCACTGTTATAAAAATGACCCAGATTGATGAAACTTAAATCGATAAAACAAGATTTAATTTTTCCCTGTTAGAAAGAAAGAAACACTTAAGGAACTACAGGACATACAGGGATAATTTAGGATCAAAACAATGAAGCTTAAGCCAAAAGACTCATTTACGATCCCTCAAAAGCTAGCAAATATTAGGATATAGTAAATTTGAGGATGTACATTCCACTGGAAAATATATAAGAGCTCAGAGAAGTGTAAAATCTAGACCAATTTTTCGTCCACACTCATGAAGCAGTGATAATAACCCCCCTGTAAAAGATATTATCCTAGGTCCCTTCAAGTTTGGCCAAAGATTTATTTTCTGATGTGTCCGTCCGGCGCAAGCCGCTCAAAACAAACGTGCGCTTCTTGCTGAAATTTGCTTAAAGGCAGGATTCTTCGTTAGGGTGACAATTCAACTCCCAAGCAATGGTGGCTTGAAATCTTAAACATTGTGGATACCTGTGCATCACAGCGAATGCTTGAAAGCGAAAGTGCCGAATATTTGATCACATGTCAGGGAATGTAGCATTTCTATTTACTTGCCTTCCATTACGTACAGGTTGTAAGCTTATTATGAAACCTATTCATACGCTGAAGAGGGCCAGCCGAAATTGGAAACTGAAGTTTAGTTGTCGAACATTATACCCATTAATGAAGAAATATTCCAAGTATCTCTTTCGTTTGTGGTTAAAATGTCACAATGTTGCAGAGGAAATAATGTAAGCTTTACACTGTAGTAAAGCGCATGTGTTATGTTCCTTTCTTTCATTTCTAGCGTGATCAGGTTCTTCCACTTCAACCGCCTCCACATCGGTCCGCTAAATCACATGTGATCTATCATTTTACACGTAAGTACTTGAACACCCACAAAAAGAGAACTTCGAGTAAGGGTGAGGACACATACCAGCCAGAATGAAGAAGAATTTAGGCCAACCATATTTGCTTCCTTTTGGATTCGGTCACAGGTTATCCGACCGTTCTCAAACAGCGTCAGCCACTGCCCAATGCCTATTAAAGTCTAGGCACTGGAAGAACATGAACGTTTGGTCAGCAGCCAAGACGGCTATTTCAATTCCCATAGGCAGTTACCGGTGACAAATAGAAACCGGGGCTCCGTAGAAGCTGCTGTTAGCTTTTTTTACTACACCATGATGATTAGGTGTCGTATTTGAATTTTTTTAGGTAAATCGTGTTGCTTATTTCTCGTTGACCGTGTTGACAGGGAGAAACATCTGTAGAAATGCTGGGTTGCTCTCCCAACCTGATATGTCACGCACTCTTCACCAGTGTGTGAACTCTCAAGTCCTTAAGTGGATGAGACTCTGTTTGATGTCCAACCTACCTTTTTCTTGCTGCTGATGTTGTAGGCCAACTTTTTAACAGACAATAAAAATACCAGAAGGAGAAAAGACCAAGATTTAACAACCATATGAAAATAGCCCGGACATCCGATGAAAGGAATACAACTTTTGACACCAGATACTCGATCAGTACTTAATTCTTTCTTGGGTTATGCAATTCGTTCTTATTATTCTTATGGAACCTATTTTCGGGGAAAAGGTAGCTGAAAGCTGAAACTATCTCATTAAAACAAAAAGTAGTGAATTTTTGGAAAATAGTTACCATTACACTGTTTTGCAAAAGTCATGCCTACTTATTTAATACATCTCGATAGACTTCCTAGAAGAATAGATGTTT